TACCCAAAGCCCTCCCTTTAGGCCTAAAACCGGGCTTTAATACTAACTGCCTGAGTCCTCAGGCACACTGCCTGAATGACTGCTTTTGCCTGTAGCAAACTAAATCTTTGTTTTGACCCACTTTCACTTGTCAGATTTTGATAAAATTTAGCTTTTTGGAAAGCCTATGACATAAGGAAACGGATTGCACAAGTTTTGCAAAAAAAAAATTACAAATTTTTTGCAAACAACCTGTCAAAGGAAATTTGCACATTTTTAGTTTTTCTTGATTAAAAATCAGGTTATTTAAAATTTTGCAAAAATTTTTGCATATTTGAAATGGCATGGTCAAGGGCTTTTCAAAAATGTATAATTTGTCATTTTTTGGACAAATTTTTTTTTGCAAACATTTTTACTATAAAACTGGATTTTGCGATAAAAAATTCAATTTTCGCAAATTTGCAAATTTTTTTGCAGATTCTAAAAGTAGAGCACAAGAGCTTTCTAATGATGTATCATTTGTCATATTTGGACATAAAACATGGGATTTAGAGGGGGGGGTCAAATTGACCCCCCCCCAGCGTATCCTGGTTTTAAAGTACCCCAGCGGGGATAGGGTTAAAATATTAACAAGTTGTCGATTTAACTTGCATGACATCATTTTCCTTGTGAGTTAGTTGTTTTATTTAAATTTAACGTTAAGACTTCAAAATTTTATAGATGTAATTATTGCAAAATTTCGCAAAATTACTTTGTAGAAATTACGCTAAATTACGCCGTAATTACACATAATTATAGTTTCGCTAATTACGCATAATTAATACAAAAATTCGCGAAATTACCTTGTAAAAATTACGTGAAATTACGCCGTAATTACATGTAATTATAGTTTCGCTAATTACGTGTAATCATTACGAAATTTCGCAAAATTGCATTGTAGAAATTACGCAAAATTATGCCATAATTAGGCGTAATTACAGTTTTGCTTATTTTGTGTAATCATTACAAAATTTTGCGAAATTACATTGTAGAAATTTTGCGAAATTATGCATAATCCTGCAAAATTACACAAAATGAAAATTATTACGAATAACAGCACGTAATCACGCGTAAGAGAATAATCTATTACATTGGAAACCCTACTCTGACTGAGGGTTAAAATTTGGCAAAATGCAAGAAAAACGAAGGTTTAGAATACATTTTTACATTTACATTTATTATCCTTATTTTGACCCTGGGCGAAAATGCACCAAAATGATAAACAACACTAGCTTTATACAATCAATGAAACCTAAGTAAACATGACATTTTTATCAAAACGTTCCTTTTCTTCCCAAAAAACATTATCTTAACCTTCTTGTGAAATACTCATAACTGCAGTGTATCATGCACATATAACTATTCCTAATTTCTCATTGTTAAGTATTTTAAAGTTTTAAACAAAAACCTGTTATAAATTTTATCAACTTCCAAAGGTTGATTAAACTGGCCTGCCAGTATGGGAGGATTGTTTGCAAGTCTCAAATTCTTAAAAGTAGTTCATACAAAAAATGTTTAAAATATAAATAAACTAGCTTGGGAAACGGGAACCCAGCAGTCTCAAATTCTAAAAAATTTATTTTAAAACATATAAATAAACCAGCCTATAGGAACCCAGCAGTAGGGCTGGGCACATTTGGACTTTTTTAAAATCATTCCGTTCCGTTCTAGAATGAGGGCCTTTAGCTAAATTGTTCCGTTCTCGTTCCATACCTCGTTCCGTTCTTAGTAACGAACAATTACATCAAAGACAAAAATTTTATAGAAAAAAGTAGGTTAAAAAGTAAAAAATTACGATTTCATAATAAAAATACTTTAAATTATATATTTTAAATTTAGGGTGAAAAGAATAAGCTTAGATAATTTCTGGGCTGAGCAATGTATAACTTTGTGAGAGTGGGGGGAGGGGCTGGATCGTCCTAATATCTTTAATATGTATGATATACAGAAGTTAAACTGAAACCTGCTGTGTTTGTCTGAGTGTTGTCAGTTTAGCAGAGACCGGGGAAGGGGGAGGATGGAAGGATTAAAGTGGGGGGAAGGGGTCAGGTAATTAAATCAAAAAATCTTAAACTATTTCTAGAGGATTTAGAATACATTCCTGATTTAAAATGCCTTCCCAACTTAGGACAAGTTCTTGATAATAAGAATGAGTTAAGAATTTTAACTGCTCTTTTCAAGCAATTCCTGTTCCGTTCCGTTTTTTTACTAATCCTTAGTTAGTTTTTTTTTCTGAACAATGGGATTGTTCTTAATCGTTCTGTTTGTTCTTTGAAAATAACGATCGTTCCATCGGTAGAACGAGCCCAGCCCTACCCAGCAGTCTCAAATTCTAAAAATTTTATTTTAAAACCTATAAAATAACCAGCCTATAGGAACCCAGCAGTCTCAAATTCTTTAAATATTCATTATAAACTTATAAATGAACCAGCCTATAGGAGCCCACTAGTCTCAAATTCTAAAAAAATCATTAAAAAACAGAAAAAAAAAATTTGAACTGAACTAGATTTAAAATCGGTCAAGTAGTTTAAAATTCGAAAAAAAAATAAACCTAAAAATGACTCACTCGAATTGAAAAAAAAAATTTTATGGGGTGGAAAAGAGAATTTTCTGATGATAAAAAATAACTGAAAGTCAGAGACCTGTGAAATGAAAAGTATACTTTCAAAGTCTGAAAAATGAGGGAATAAGTTTCAATTTTAGTTATTTTTTATCTCCGGAAAGATTTTTTCCCGCTACATTATGAAAACAGTTTTGCACTTGTCTAAGAAATTGGGACACTAGATTTCACGACTTTTTAGTAAACTGTGGCAAAGCTCTTAAGTGCACAATTCTAATATTCACTAAAATAATAATAGTATGCATTTTTTCAGTGATTAATTTTTTTGTAGCCCAACTTTAGGGGCAGAGAAAGGATGAACAAATGCTCTTGCATAATATCCTGGGACTGAGTTTATATGAAATTCAAAACATTTTTGTTCTTGTCGATATCTTTTAAAGTTATTATTGAAAATGTGTAAGATTTCAATCTTACTTTCAATTTAAGTTAGTTTGACATTATATATAGAAGAGTGGGAGCAAAGCATATCTATAAAGGAAATCAGTTTTGCTAATTTTTCAATCTCTATATTTTTGCAACCCGATGTTGTAGACCTTCACTTACTTTCCCCCCTTTTGTTCCAGTTTTGAATAAAAAATGATGTTTGACATATTCGACCAGTCTCTGGTCATCCTGCTCCAGGCTAAACAGATCTAGATTCCCATCATAATTAACTGTGTCAGGAACCTAAAATAAACAGGTATTTACCTAGTCTAGATTATGTAACCCCCCCCCCGCCCCAGTTCTATTGATTGCTACTGAAAATAATTCCTCAATGTGGGACTTGTTTTATTTAGGAAGTGTTAGGGTAAAACCAGCTTAGGTATGAAATTTTGTCATTTTAAAACAACTTTCACCAATATGCCAGCCACTTTACTGGATCAATAGCCATTTTTTTCTTTTTCCTGCCATTTTCAGCAAACTTTTGTAATTAAAAAATATTAATATTATATGTTACATGTTAGGTTATAAGTTATATATTATGTTATATGTTATGTGTTATGTTAGATATTATGTGCTATCTTATATGTTATGTTTTATATTATATGTTATGTGTTACGTGTTATGTTATGTGCTTTATTAAAATTTTTTATGATTTTTCTGAATTCAGTTTTTATTTTAAATTCAATTTATAAATTGTAGTTTTACCTGAATAAATTTTAGAGTCAAATCAGTATTGACCAACCACTGTAAATAGTTTTTTTATTTTTTCAAAATTGTAAATAACAAAACAAAAATATTAAAACTAAAAAAATGACTTACAAAAGACAAACAAAAGAAAATAATTAAAAACAATGCTGGCATTAAGAAACTTCTTTGAATAACAGCCATCATCATCTGAAATAAGGATATTAGTACAGTATTCAAAGAAGAAGAAGAAGAACAAGAACAAGAAGAACAATAACAAGAACAAGAATAAGAAGAAGAACAAGAAGAGAAAGAAGAACAATAAGAAGAAGAAAAATCAGAAGAAGAAGAAGAAGAAGAAGAAGAAGAAGAAGAAGAAGAAGAAGAAGAAGAAGCAGAAGAAGAAGAAGCAGAAGAAGCAGAAGAAGAAGAAGAAAAAGAAGAATAAGAACAAGAGGAAGAAGAAGAACAAGAAGAACAAGAAGAGAAAGCTCTGGTTGAGAGACCAGAAGATCGGGTTCATATAGATTAATGAAGACAAAGCTAGGATTGAAGCCTTTCTGGGTAATGAAGAGCTTTAGCATTAGTAAAAGACAATACGTCATTGAATCATGAAGTAAATTACAGAACGGGATGCGAAGTACAACAGGAGATGCTAAAGCCCTGTTCAGAATGTGGTAAACACATGCTACCAGAAGAACAAGAATCAGGGCAAGAACTTTTACTCCAAGAAAATACTCCTAGTTTATCAGGCTAGTATACAAGCTATATGCATGCAGAACCACAAAGATGTAGGAAGATAAAACATTTGTGGAAACGATGAATTATGTACAAGAATCAGATCAGCAGAGAGCAAGAAGGAATTTATTTGTGGTAGCTTTAAGACAGTTTGAAGGGAAAACAGATGTCTTAGAATTTGTTAACCATAAGAAGAGATCAGAGAAGATGAACATAGAATATCAGCTAAAAATTGAAGTAAAAGGGAAGAAAACGTTTGCAATTGTCCTAAAAAGGGATGCAGCAGAAATATCTAAAGAGAGGAGGAAGTTTTCCAGATATCCATCTGCTATTAACAGCAGGAATCAAGAGAAGCATCAAGATCAGGAGAAGCATCAAGATCAGTAGAAGCATCAAGATCATATTAAAAAACAAGATAAAGAAAGAGAAGTTGAACCTGGATAAATTGGATCAACCCAAACATTGCAGATACGGAGCTAATTGCATAATAGGGCAATGTAATTGTGTTAGAAAGTGTTTAGCTTTGATATATTTATAAAAGACGACATTACTGTTTGTCTATCTTACAATACAAAGCAGGTAGTTTCCATTTAAACTCCGCACCTTTCACAGGTGTGGAGACAGTTTCCAAGATGAATTTATCAATATAAAAAGGTAATAGTTGTAAACCTTAAATAACCTTTAGATTGTATGCATAAGTGTATGCATATTTATCAAGATATATATTTTAACTATTTTGTATATTTCAGTTATGTGCTTTTAGACGAGTGTTTGTGTAAATGAGAAGAGTGAAAATAAACATCTATAAAGAAAACTTGCTCATTACTTTCACAAGTCTACCCATC